GCTCGGTCGCCCTTTGGCATTTTGAAGACCGGAGAAATGTTATCTCGGTCTAAGTGAGTAATCCCAGTCACGCTTTTGCGGACGGAATTAAGGGGCAATTGAGAGGGTAATTTATGATCTGGAATTGGGCCGAGGCAACGGCCGAGCAGGAAGAGAGCCCAACCGTGCATGGGGCCGAGATGATCGACTATCCGCCCGAAGATGGGCTGCCAGAACTTGGCCCGGGTAGGAATTCGGCCAAGTGTGAGCCGCCCCGGACCGAAAAGAAGCTCGGCAAGGAAGTGCTCGGTTGGACCGAGCTGCTTGATCAGGGGATGGCTGAAGCCAGACAAGCTGAGTGACCGGCGCCCGAAAAAGCGTGGTCAACCGAGGAAACCGTTTGATCGGCAGGAAGGCCGACCACAGGAGGTGCCCGGGCTAGGCTCTGCCGAGATGCCGCCTAGCCCGGTCCTCCATGGGGTTTATCCAGTGAGGTGCTTGGGTATGAAGCATAGCACGGCCGTGGATAGAGCAGCTCGGCTGCCGAGCTCCTGCTGAGTAGGCAGGCAGTTGAGATTAGGTGATGATCGGCAAGGTTTATGCTGACAGATGGGATAGCGGAGCCACGTGTCAGGAGATGACTGGGAGTGGATATGGGGCGCAGAGGGTATATAAGCATGTCTGTGCCCCCCATACGCGACAGATGAACACTTTGTAAGGAATTTCTTACACTCAAAACACCTCTCTCTCTCTCTCTCTCTCCCTATCCCAAGGTGTGTGCTAACTTGATCGTCGGAGGGTTTTTCCGGCCACATACCGCCGGGTAGCTCACCATTCTTTGCGCGCAGGTGATTGGACATAAACGGAGCTCGGAAGAAAGGAGTACGGGCTTGCCGGAATATTTGTTCCCCGTACAATATAAATTATAAAAATGTAAACAAAGTCAAATTTTAATAGTTTAATAATGTAGCTGCAACAAAAATATATATATAATTCGAACAACTCGGGCAATTCGAGTTTAACTCGGGTTGGGTTTGAGCAAGCAATCTCGGATTACAATTCGGGCCTGGGCAGGCCTGGACAGATCTCAGTACAATTTGAGATAGGTTTGAACAACATCCCAATCCGATCGAACCCACCCAATTTGCACCCATAATAAAAAGTAATAACAATTTTACATTTTGACATTAACAAAAAAAAAAAGAAAAAAAAAGAGAAGCCAAAAAGGTAAATAAACTTTTTGAAACTTAACAAATTAATGAAATATTTATTAACAAACTTCAATACAATGAGGATGTTACTCTTTGGAATTTAATGAGTTAAAATATTTGGCACGTGTTTATGCTTCTTCCTTAGATTTGCTCCTAACAGCAAAATCAACCCAAATTTTAATTAATAATTAGAAACAAGCCCATAAAATAAATCAAGTTACTTTAACTCAATTAGTATCCTGTTGATTCAAGGTTGACTCGTCATATAAATAAACAAACCTTCAACATAATTTTGAACGTAGCTATAATTTGACTGGCTTAACTCGTGGTCTACTTGATTAATATTCATTTGAGATCAATTTAAAAAATAAACAAACTAAATTTAGATATATTTTAAAAAATTATTAAACATTTAAAAAGTCAACATCTAATTTGATTTGACTTGCAAACAACCCCAAGTAAATATGGTGCTCCAGAATAAATTGATTAACTTAAGAACACCAATAAAATAATAATAATAATAATAAAACTGAAAACCAATTTAGCTCATTTGAATACAATAAGATGCGACCATTTTCTATTTAAATTGAAGTGAAAAACTTATCCTAACCCATTATTTTCAAAAAAGAGCTATCGAACAAATTTTAAAATGATTATATATTTTTTTGACAAGTGCTTTTTTTATGAAGAATGAGCATTCATTTTAAAACTTTTAACAAATATTAAATTTGTGAACAGAGCTAGGTGAAATAAGTTATTCACCGATTATAATCTCAGGATAACAAATATTTTCATGAGGACATTTTTAAAATTTTACGACAAAAGTATTATTCCAGAATAAATTGTCTCACTTCTTTCCTTAAAACAAGATAATCTCTCATACGCAGAATAAAACAAGATAATAAATTGTCTCACTTCTTTCCTAAATCATATAGGTTGAACTGATGCAAGATTAGTTTATCATGAAATTATTTAATCTAATATTGGAACGTCTCTTAACAAAATTCTTACTTTATATTTGTAATTTGCAATATAATAAAGGAAAAGACTATGATACTCACCCTTAAAAGGTACACTCTTAAAGGGTTTAAGAGTGTGTACCATATGCACTTTATGATTATAGAAGAAAATAACATAATTTCATATTTTTTAAGTTTTAACTAAAAAAAAAAGTCATAGCTAAATAAAAAAAATTATAACTAAAATCTCAAAATAATAGCATAATTAAAGAAAAAAATTTAATTATAATTAAAAAAAAAATTAACGTAACTAAAAATATATATAATATGTGAATGCGTATAATAAAATTCTCTTATAATAAAATGCTTCAATGAAGAGTAGTGACAATTTGTTTTAAATTTTTTTTTAAACAACTTTGTTTTAGTGTGGTTTTAATTTAGGGTTGGTTTGGGATGTTTTAAAAAAGTGTATTTTTTGACTTATTAATTTATATGGGTTGAGTTTGGATTGAGTTTGATACGATATGTTAAAGAAGTGATATGATTTAAATAAAATGATATAATTTAAATATAATAGTGACTTTTTGTATTATTTAATAGAAGCTAAACTTGAGTTTATATTTACGAAAAGTGTCGGTGTTTTAAAAAAGAAAAACATGTGCGTTGAACAACTGTTACCTTTCCCGAGTAGAAAAGCCAAAAATCAGAAGAAAAACAAAAAATAAAAAAATCTTTTTGACTTTTAAAACTCTATAATCGCGTTTGAGTGGTCAACGAAACAGATGATTACCTGCTTTGACACACTCGGGTAATTCGACACGTTTCGGCACATTACTGGTTGAATCTCTGAAAGTCAAACATCAATAACTATTGTTTTGCGTGGACTCGAGCCCACTGGATTACAAATGGCACCTCTAATCGAAAACGTGCGGTGTGGGCTTATTGTGTGGGACCCACTTCATCACTGGCCACAGATCACTCAATGGAGACACAAATTGGGTCCAAGAGTGTGAAATCTGAACTGTTTTATTATTCACATCGGACGGTAAGCGACAACAGTGACAAATGGCTAGATTTTCCACGAAATTATTCGGTGCGCTTGGATAATAGCGTTGTTTTATACAACTCATCTAAATTCTTTATAATTTTTTATATTTTGATCATTTATACTATTAAATTGTTTGGTACAACTCTTATTTACAACTTATTAAACAAAAATTATTTAAATTAACTGAAAAAAATAAATTATTAAAAAATTGAAAGATAATTTTTTAATTTTTAATTGTTAATTTATAATAAATTGCATTAAACATTCTATCACAAATTATGTGAAGCCTATGTAAGTGTTTTGCATACACCAAAAAAAGTCATATTTTTTTTTCCAAACTTTTATGTTTGGTTTGTGTTTGTAGAGTAGTTTTTGAGATAAAAAGTACGAAAACTTATTTGGTTTGTCTTTTTTCAGAAATGATTTTGGAAAATTATTTTGAGGAGAAAGTTTTAAAAAAAATGATTGATTTGACGTGTATGAGAGAGAGTGTGATTTTGAAAAGTAGGTAACCAAACAAAATTTTGAGATTTTTTTTTGAAAAAATTTGTTTACTTTGATTACTCTTGAAAATTTGTTTGTAGAGAATTTTTTTTAAAATTTTTTCTGAAAAGCAAACCAAACAAGGCAAAATAATCACAAAAATTTGTTTTTAGGTGGTGTTTGGTTTTCATTTTTGGCTAAATAATTATAAAAAGACAAAAAAAATTTCAAAAATCACAAAAAGACAAAAAAAAAAAAATTACTATTCCAAAACTAAAAAGCTAAAAAAACGAATCAAAAATACCAACGAACAAAAAGTCACATACTAAAAAAGTCAAAAAAGCCATAAAGTCAGCTAAAAAAGTCATTTCCAAGAAAATAATCACAAAAATTTGTTTTTAGGTGGTGTTTGGTTTTCATTTTTGGCTAAATAATTATAAAAAGACAAAAAAAATTTCAAAAATCACAAAAAGACAAAAAAAAAAAAATTACTATTCCAAAACTAAAAAGCTAAAAAAACGAATAAAAAATACCAACGAACAAAAAGTCACAGACTAAAAAAGTCAAAAAAGTCATAAAGTCAGCTAAAAAAGTCATTTCCAAGCGAAGGCTTAATATTTTTCTTAAAATTGTGTCAATTTTTTTTTAAAAACTTTTTTGGATCTTCTTGGCTAAACGAATTTAAAAAAAAAAAAAAAGCTAAAAAAAAAATTTATTTTTGATTTTGTTTTATCATTTCTAAATATTTGTTCAAAATTTTTTTTTTTTTCATTTCTTCTAATCAAGTAGCACTCAAAAATCTAAATCTTTTTTTGAAATTTTAAAATATTTTTCATAAAAACTAACGAAATTATTAAAATAGCCATCAAAAAGACAAATCCAGAGTGTATGATGGGTGGGTTTGACTTGTTCAACATTGGCCCGAGTGTATACGATAATTTTTCCGTTTCGTTTTGGACGAAAAGGACAACAATCTGGTGCTAGCCAGCTCGTACTAAAATAATGTCCAAAAACGACCAAACTCACGCCACGTCATCATCACAGTGAAAAATACACGCAGGATGCTGATGTGGCGGTTTTTTATTGGTGAAGATTTGAACCGGTTTATAGCTGATCTGAGGTGAAAATATAACAGAGCAAACAAACAAACAAACAAAAAAAATAAAAATCAAAAAACCCAAAAATATATAAAAAATAAAAAAATTTGTTTGTCTCTTTTTGGGCTCTCTGTTTCATCTGTAGCTCGGAAGATATATATATATATATATATATATATGCGAATATATATATAGACAGAGAGAGGAAGAGGGGTTGGTGGAAGGGGAAGGAGGGAGGGAGGGAGGGAGGGAGAGAGAGAGAGGAGAGAAGGCATGGGTTGTTTTCCATGCTCTGGAAATCCAAACAGAAGGCTTGAGAATGAGAGGCCCATTCGCAATATCAATCACAATAGACGAGACGATCATTCACAATTCACCTCAGGTATTACTAATCTCTCTCTCCTAGTTATTCGATCATTCTTTGTTTGTTTTTTTAATTTTTTTTTGGTGGCATTTCCATTGAATCTATTTGATGTTCCTCATAGAAATCTTTTTCAAATTGAGGTTCAGGTGCATCTCTGACATGGGTTTGCTCTGAATTGATCCCAAAATAAAATAAAAAATTTGTGAATGATTTATGTGCTTTTCTGCACTTGTTGGTTTTGATTTGCATTCTTTTTATCTTTGTTGTTTGGTTTCTCTTCTTTTCTTCTTTTTTTCCCCATTGTTTTTTTTGTGCGATTGGGTTTGAAATTATTGACTTTTGAGGTTGGGTATAAACTGTAGGGTTTGGGAAAGGCGGAATTTTGATTTTTCTGAGAAGGCCTTTAATTTACACTTACATACCTTTGTCTTTAAGCTGTTGCAAAAATCATATGTTGGTTGGTTCTGTGACTGTTTTGGGATGGTATTGATGGTGGTGATTGATTCTATACAGAAATAGGTGTTTTTGAATACTCCAATTCAAAATCTTTCTTGTATGTTTTGTTATTTTGCTGCTTTCTTTTATATTCCAATAATTGTGAGAATCACAGTGGAATCAATTCTTTGGCTTTTAGGCACCATGTGCATTTAATGTCTCTGCTCTCCAAATGGCTCTCTCTCTCTCTCTCATACCTTTTGTTTTTTTTTTTTTTGGGTGTTTTGTGTCATATGATTTAGATACATCGAGAACAAGTCCATATAATGGCTTGAATAAGGTTCTTACGGTTGTAAAGCAATCTTCAGCAGCAAAGGAGTTGGATGTGAAGGAGGTACCTAAAGATGAAGAGACTGAGAACGTTAATGCAAGAACATTTACTTATAACCAATTGGTGGTTGCGATGGAAAAATTCAAATCAGATTACTTTTTGGGCGAGGGAGGTTTTGGAAAAGTTTATAAAGGAAAATTAGAGGATACAGGCCAGGTTGGTTGAACTTGAAACCGAAACCTCGTTGATGTTAGTCATTAGTCATACAAAGTCTACCAAGTTGGTTGCGCCTAGCTAGATTTTTGTCTCATTGGTTTATTTAAATCTTCAAAGAGAGCTGATTATTGGACCAAATGTTCTTGTTTCCATTGCAGATTGTAGCTATCAAGCAACTTGATCGTAATGGATTGCAAGGGATTAGAGAATTCATTGTTGAAGTATTGACACTAAGCCTGGCTGACCACCCTAATCTTGTTAAATTAATTGGTTATTGTGCTGAGGGAGATCAGAGGCTGTTGGTATACGAGTACATGCCATTAGGATCTTTGGAAGACCATTTGCATGGTATCTCTCTTTCCATCAACCTTCCATTATCATTGCACAATCTTTCATTCTTTTCCCCCCCTCTTCTTAAGTACTAATGCATTTGCCTTGCTATTTGTTTTCTTGCACAGACCGTCGGCTCGATAGGAAACGACTTGATTGGAATAGTAGAATGAAAATTGCCGCCGGTGCAGCTAGAGGCTTAGAGTATTTGCATGACAAAATGAAGCCCCCAGTTATATATCGTGATTTGAAATGCTCAAACATTCTGCTCGATGAGGGCTATCATCCCAAGCTGTCCGATTTTGGCTTGGCCAAAGTTGGTCCGGTTGGAGATAAAACTCATGTTTCCACCAGAGTGATGGGAACATACGGGTACTGTGCACCGGAGTATGCAATGACCGGTCAGCTGACGTTCAAATCAGATATTTTCAGCTTTGGGGTCGTTCTTTTGGAGATCATCACGGGCAGGAAGGCAATTGATAATATGAGAACGGCTGCTGAGCAAAATCTGGTTGCATGGGTAAGATACATTTTTTCCCCTCTAATATCTGTTGATTACTTATGTATACAAGATATTGGTTGTCCTCGTAAAAAACATTAGTACCATAACAAATATATTTAGATGTGGATGGTCATTTAACCAACTGACGTACCTTTATCAAGCTCAAGCATCAGAGGAAATTGCAAATACATGGAGCAGTGGGAAAAAAAATTGCACTACAAATATGGAATTTTTTTTTGAGTGCAACTCTGACACAGGAAAAGTTGCACCAAACATAGGAATGAATTTGCACCACAGCACCATCATGAAAATGTAATTTTTTCCCACTGCTCCACTGAAATGCAATTTTCCCCAAGCATTATTACTTTCAGGAGACTCATAGTTATTATCCATACATGACTGAGGAAATATAGAAAGTACCAGTAAGCAGATGGTAAACGTTCAAGCTTGAAAAGATTAATATTCATTTGCTGGAATCACTTTTTGTTTGTGGCTTCTCCAAGGGGCGCATTGTCAATTTGAGAGGTCCATTTGGATTGTGATGTTTTGTGGTTTTTGCTGTACCAAATCTCTAGCAATTCAGCAGCCCTGGTTGAATGGAGTTTGTGTCCCATATGTAAAGTATCCTATGCTTGTAGGCATTATTTTTGGTGTTTACATGATTTTATGCTTTCTTCTTTTTTGCTTTTGTCCCTCTAATTGTTGAATGATACATTTGAAAATTAGTAACGTGCTTTTTAAACATTGAAGTTCTTATATATTATTACACGACTTTCAATAATCACAATCAGGGGCATTCATTTAGTAGTCTCATCATACAATATTTATTTAGCTGAGGTTTAGGGAGACAAGGCAACAAAGTTTTTTTTTTCTTCTTTTCTTTGATAGGTGTAGGGAGACAACAAAGATATGAATGATAAAGGGATACTTTTTCTTAATCATGAATTACGGTATGATAAATCTCACCAACCACAAATAGATTATGAGGAATTTCATATCAATATTGATGTGCCCTTCTACCCTTTTGATTATTCACTGGAGGGAGAAAACTCATGTACAAGCAAGTTTGTTGACTTTGGGGATTCAAGTCCTTTGTAAACTGCTATAGAACTAAAATTGTGACTGTTTCTGAGTTATTCCTAAATTTTTAAACTTATGAGAGCACAAACCAAAATTCAATATACTTAAAAATTGCAGAAATGGAAAAAATAAAAATAAAATCCATGCCCAACCATATATTAGAGATTCCTTGAAGATGGATGAACACGGAACTCATGTGTAGGCATCTTATTAGACTTCCCCAGTTATCTTTGGATAATAAGTGTGTACTTCAGTTTGACTGTAGAAGCCAGATCTTGAGCTTCATAAATCTCTGACCGCAAAGAACATTCTCAGTCCTGAACAAGTTAAAACTTCTCCATTAACAAGCCTTTAAATTGCCTCCATAATGTGTTTGCTGATGGAAATTATCTGTTGAACTCTTATACTGAACAGCTTCAATGGTGTTTAAAACTGCGAACCATGAAAACAATATAATGATTGCTGATGAACTGACCAATTCCGATATAGTTTATCCCTAACTAGCAAATCCTGCTTTCATAAATGTGGAATGTATTTGATTTTCTGTCAAGAACAATGAATTTTGTAGCATACGTGACCTTCATCTGAATGGATGTAAACTGCCACTCTTTTACCTATATTAACTCGGAAAAGATCCTTTCGTTGGTCCTAATCCCATCATTGGCATCCTGTTTATCTTCTTATTATCTTAAATAAATTTACAGTTCTGTAGAGAACCTTTTAAAAAAAAAAATTTGTACCACATTTATATTCATCGAATTTTGTTATATGCCCTTTTGGTCTTCTTCAATATGTATCAACAGTCATCAAGGTTTCTAAAGATTGTGTAAAATAGTTAATGGCAGATTCTGAAACATAATTTTAGTTGGCGTCCATGAGTTGATTTCTATTTTGTTTTGTGACATATTTCACTTTCCCTTTATGAAGACTTCACATTATCGACTGCCTAACTGGAATAGATCGTTTATCATTATCTTTTTGATTTCAATAATTGGTAATTGGTGGAAAAGAAAGCCACTATCTCACTTTTTCAAGCACGATATAAGAACGTAAGACTAAAGAGAAAATAAGCATCTTTTGGACTTGTTTGCAGGCACGACCCATGTTCAAAGACCGAAGAAAATTCCCACAGTTAGTTGACCCAGAGCTTGAAGGTCAGTATCCCACAAGAGGCTTGTACCAAGCCCTTGCCATCGCTGCAATGTGCGTCCAAGAGCAACCAAACTTGAGGCCCCTCGCTGCTGACATTGTTACCGCTTTGAATTATCTCGCTTCCCAAGCATATGTTCCCCAGACCCAATCTGTCCAAAGCTCCCGAAAGGCCACATCTTCTCATTGAATGACAAAAAAGCAGGACGAGTTGGGACCCATTGATGCTCAAGGACTAAATAGTAAATTTAAGTGGTCAAACACATTTTCAATGTGCTCAAATATGATGGTGCCAAGTTATCATTTTGCTCTTGCATTACTAAGGGAATAGCAGGTGCCAACTTCCAAGCATGGTCTCTGGTGGAAATTACAGGGAAGTTATGCCATTTTTGCCCTTCCTCTTTCCATGTAAATGTGAGCTGTATTTCATACATATGTAAAATGCCTTTCTTTTCTTTTCTTTTTCTTTTTTTCTCTCGACATATGGCCTATTAACAGAGAATGTCTGGTGAGAAACAGAGGATTATAGCCCGGAGTGGAGCTGAACTTGTAGGATAAAAGGTTTCTTCTATACTTTAGTTTAGACCTTAAATCTTAATAAAGAAAGATGTTATACTTTTGCTTTGTTTCAGATTTTGTGTGTGTCACAAGGCCAAAGTGATAACCAATCTCATCTAAGGCCAAACACCATCAATTAGTTAATTTAGCTTCTTGCAAAATTATACCAACTTTGACCAAAAGACAACCTCAAACAAAATAACTGGAATAATACCAAACCTAAGTGTGTGTATACACATGTATGAGTGTATATATGTGGATAACTCTGAGTTGCCTAAATAGGAAATCCTCAAGTCAGTATGAATCTGAGTTTAAAGAAACACTACAGACAGATATAATTTTTTTTTTTTTTAAAATGTGTAAAAAATGAGATGATGTGATTCAAAATAAATTAAAATTAACTTTGACTATTTTAACTCTTTCCAAAAGAATCCAATGACCGAAAAAATTTGATTGAGGGAAACAAACCTAAACATTTTTCTAACAGTCTCCCTTTTTTATATTTCAAGGAGTGACATAAAAAGGTACGATGACATCCATCTTTTCCCACTAAAGCTTTCTTGAGATAAAAGGTTGTTTTAGGAGTTTGGTTAAAAATTAATTTTTTAATTTTTTAAAAAATATTTTTTTAAAAAATATGTAAAATTGTAGAGAAGTAATATGATTTAAAAAAGTCAAAAAATTCTTTTAATTAACTTGCCAAAATAGGCCAAAAAAAAAAAAAAACAAAAAGGTACGACGACATCCATCTTTTCCCACTAAAACTTTCTTGAGATAAAAGGTTGTTTTAGGAGTTTGGTTAAAAATTAATTTTTTAATTTTTTTTAAAATATTTTTTTAAAAAAATGTAAAATCATAGAGAAGTAATATGATTTAAAAAAGTCAAAAAATTAAAAAGTTCTTTCAATTTTTGTGAGAGAAGAATGTAATGATTATAGGTTGGATGTGATGTTTTGTTTGTTATGGCTAAAATAGCCTATTTTGTTTTTTGTGACTAAAATAGCCAAAAAAGCCTGAAAAAACCCTTGCCAAACACAGTATGTAGCTGATCCCATCAAACGCTTTTAAAAAATAAAATAAATAATCATATGTTTGTTTTCAATTCTCAAAATTTACTTTTAAAAAAAATTCTACTTTTTCGTATTTTTTTTTATTTTTACTAATTTTTTTTAATATTTTCAATAATTTTTTTAATTTTTAGATACACCTAACATAAATACACTTAGAAAGTATAATATTTGTGAAAAAAAATCTTTAAAAAATTCATCAAATACCAAAAATACAAAAAAAAAAAACAAAAATTCAATACATTTTTCATATTGTTGTGTCTTTATTAATTTCTTAAAATATTTTTTTCACAAATAATTTACTATTTAGATACATCTAAGTAAGGTACATCCAAAAAAGTAAAAAAAAAAAATATCTTAAAATTTTAAAATATTCACTAAAAACCAAAAAACACACAAAAATAAAAAACTTAATTTTCAGAAAACTGAATTCAAAAAACTGAAACTAAACACACTAAATAATAACAAAAAAAATTAAAATATTGTTAATCAAATTTTGATCCATGGTTGAAATTAATGAACCCACTCCACAAGCATAATTCAATTGCATAACCGAATAAAATTACAGTAATATACATCGAAAAAGATGTCCAATTGCGAAAGTACTTGTTTTATTTTTTGTTTTCAAACAAATAGTATCAAGTTATTACAATTTCCTTTTGTTTATGATATTAAGGTTCCGTTTGATAACACTTACGTTTTCAGTTGTATTTATTAATTTCTTAAAATATTTTTTTCACAAATAATTTACTATTTAGATACGTCTAAGTAAGGTACATTCAAAAAAATAAAAATAAAAAAAATCTTAAAATTTTAAAATATTCACTAAAAATCAAAAAACACACAAAAATAAAAATCTTAATTTTCAGAAAACTGAATTCAAAAAATTGAAACTAAACACACTAAATAATAACAAAAAAAATAAAAATATTGTTAATCAAATTTTGATCCATGGTTGAAATTAATGAACCCACTCCACAAGCATACTTAATGATGTTCAATTGCATAACCGAATAAAATTACAGTAATATACATTGAAAAATATGTTCAATTGTGAAAGTACTTGTTTTATTTTTTGTTTTCAAACAAATAGTATCAAGCTACTAAAATTTCCTTTTGTTTATGATATGAAGTATTTGTGTTAAAAGTTTTTACATGCGTCCATTGATAAATTTTTTTAGAGCCAATGAAACCTATGAAAACATGTAAAATGAAAATTAAATTTTTTTATCAAATCCTTTTTAACCTTGGCCTAATAACTTTAAAGTTATGAGTTCAAGTTTTAGAACAATCACTTTGTGTACTATACCAAATGTCAAGTGTGTACCTAATCTTTTCCCTCCTAAATACACATTAATGTGTACTTGTGCGGGGGCCAAATATCCGACGTTATCCGTACTCCTCGTGTCCAAGCTGCACTTCCCTCCGATTGACCTAAGAACACAATGACGGTGAGCTACCCGGCGATGTGCTGCTTGAAAACCCCTCCAACGGTCAAGTTAGCACACTTAGAAAGAGAGAAGAAAGAGGAGACAAAGTGGTAGGTGAGCTTTGACCAGAGGATGTTCCAGACTTGAGGATGGAGGCGTAGTATCGTTTTATATAGTTTCTGCGTGTGCTTTTGGTACATTCCTCTCGTGACGCGTGGACATACTCTCCTCTTACGTTTCCCCACGTGGCAACATTAATACAGCTAAACACCACCTAACGAAACAGCCAAACGGTATTGACGCATACAGACAGCGGAATCTCCTTCTGGCAGTCCTGTGGCACCGCGTAGTACTCCCTACTGAGCTATGCTTAGTGAGGCGCCACGTCGTCACCTTACGACTGTGCTACTTGTTGGGTTTCCTTGATAATTCCATACCGTGGCTCTACCGAGCTCCTTAGTCACAAGCTCGGTCAATCCTGACGTTGGGAGGATTAATCCCGTCCAACTCTAGAAAGCGCACATCTCCTCCAGAATGGCAATCCAAAGTTGTTCCAACTCGACCAAACTGAGTCCTTAGTCTGTGTGCACCCAACATCTGACCGAGCAAGGACTTTGATTCTAGTCCAAACCAGCTCGGCCCAATATTAGGTCGTAAACCTCCTTCTGAATTGTCCCTTAATTCCGTCCGCGCTAGCGTGACCGAGATTACCTTTTCTGACTGAGGTCACTCATCTGCTTGATCATCCACCTCAAATCATTCGCTGCGCTAACTTTCACACTCGGTCCCACGACTTGCTCGGTCGATGCTTCAACTTTTCAGCTTGCCTTTTAAAGACTAACACCAGTCTTATCACAGACACATGCCCTTTGTCCATTGGCCTCATACAGCCAACCCAGCTATCCCACACCGTCTCCTCGAATTCAAATTTTTGGCGCCCTTTCTCATTCCATATACGTCCCCCTCAAACCAACCCTTCATTTCCACTGTTCACCATATCCGCCATAGACGATTCATAGCGTAAACACACCCAAGCCTTGCCCCTTATGTTTTCTACCCATTCTCGAGCATTTTCCTGGTGAAGTTGGTCTTGTCATTACCATTATGGAGCATCTCACCCATAGGGACTTCGATTCATGCATCAACCCATAAGCTCTCTTCTTCCTTTCTGTCATTCTCTTCTTCATGCTTTTTTGGTATTTTTTGAACTTTGGCTCCCACACTAATCTTTCGAGGAGGATAGAAATATCCAAAAACCACCAAAAATTGAATAGGGTTAGGTTTGTGCATTGCCTTCGTCGTCGAAAAGCTTCCATGCCACTGTTTCCTTGTACTGTTCATCATCCCATGTGATGAACACAACAAGATCTAGGCTTGGCCGTGCTAAAAAATGCACTTTTGATCTGAAAATAAGGGTAACCGAGCAATTCTGTTGTTTACGGAGTTGGAGTAGAAAACTGAGCTATCTAGCATATACGGTCGTGCAACCGGGCTAAAATCTGGCTTGCTCCCACGACCGGGCTAAAATTTGGCCCACTCCCATGACCAGGCTAAGGTCTGCCGAACAATATAGCGAAGTAAGAAGTGACTGAGCTAAAATTAAGCTCATATGCGCGACCGCGCTATCACTTATACTTGATTTTCAACTGCAGAATCCTAGGGGACTAGGCACACCAATATCAGGGCTCTCAACGACCGAGTAGTCATTGTGCACACTTTAGTCAACTCTATTTTGTTGAGCTACTAAGCCGATTGCTAATGGGGCGCTATCCCTTCTTTATAAACACGCCAGACGCACCGGCCGCGTTTTGCGAGGAGTACGACGTCCTTGATGATGTCCACTTTACGCTCGATACAGAAGATATTTCCCTTTAGGGCAAGCTGGATCAGTGTGTAACAACCCAGATTTTTAATTATTCTGTAAAATTTATACTGATATTATATGATCACAGTTAGGAAAATATACGATTTATTTTGCATTATTATGCATAATTTTGTAAAATAATATAATTATTAAAAATTTAGGAGCCAAAGTATAAATAAATAACTAAGTTTAGATAAGCTTGAATTAATTTAGATAAACATGAATTAATGGGGGAGTAATGGGAGCGCGGCACATGGCAGCTCGTGGCTTGGTGCCCACGGCTGCCTTTTCTATACATTGGGGGGGAGATGTGCTTAGAAGAGGGGAAGTAAGGAAAAGAAAAGAGAAACAAAAGGAAAGAAAGAAGAGAGAAATGAAGGAAACAAAGGAAAAATAATGGAAGCTGAGAAGGTCTTTGATTGTAACGCCCTCAAAATAAGACAAGCATTTACATATAAACTAACCACATTCCTTTATTTCATTGAGTTTCATTACATAAGTATTACTGGGGGAATTAAGGAAAAGAAAAGAGAAAGAAAAGGAAAGAAAGAAGAGAGAAAGGAAGGAAATGAAGGAAAAATAATGAAAGCTGAGAAGGTCTTTGATAGTAGAAAGAAATAGTGAGGTATTAAAGTTAAGGTGAGTTATATTATACCTTAAGTTACCATAATGTATTTTACGTATGTTTTAACTTACCATA